TGTGAAAAGCATGTCTTCTCACTTTAATTCAAACTAATTTCTGTCAAAAAAGATACTTAAACCTTTATCAAAGTCCTCACTGTACTTAAAACTGATTTTAAAAAGAAGACACTTCACATGCTCTTGAATGAAATGATTACACAAAATTGTTATTACACTGTACATTAGATCAGAAAGTAATTGTGTATTCTTTTTTCCTGAGAATTACTACATGCTAGGTAATTCCATACTCAGCAAACCAATAAGGAATAGTTATTAACTTTAGAAGAGTTCATGTGAAAAATATCAGTAGCTGTAGGTAACACATAAGGCAGAGAACTTTGATCTTTTGCACCATAAAATATTGAGACTCATTATGCCATGCAGAAAATGTTTACTATAGTCATTTTTCACTCATGTCTAAGGAACCAGTTATCCAATATGACAATTTTTTCCTTGAAAAGAAAAGGTAGGAGGGTGAAAATATTTTGCTTTTAAATCTGTGGTGATGTCTGATAAGCCCTCCAATGACTGAGATTCATTTATCTCGCAATATTCATTCGACTTGATACTAGCAATACATAGGCAGTAAAACAGATATTAAATTTGTATTCTTTATTTGACAGAATGCCTGCAGCAGAGTTCTGCTTAACTATTTAAGCAAATGGTCCTTTTGCTATTTATAAAAAGGAAATTCCCTTCAAGTCTTCTTGCATTTCAATACCTAAAGTTCAGTTAAGTAGATATTACTATTGCATATTGCTACTTTTTGTTTGACAGTAGGGTAAAAAAAATAACCTAAAACTTAAAATTAGTGGAGCTACAAAAAAATGGGTGGTTTCTAAGAATATTTCCAGTGTCTAATTTATTTTCCAGTGTCCAACTTACATTGTTTTTCCACTGTAAACATGAGATTACATGAGAACTACAGTTGTCCAAATGTGTCATGTTGATTTTTCGTCTGCTAGCCAGCCCTTACAGCTATGTGGTCCCAACCCCCATAACAGATACAGAACAAGCTCAGAGAAAATTATCACAGCACACATGCATGTTCTATAACCGTGTGCAGCATAAGCATATGCGTCACATTTATATAAACACATGTAAGTGAAGTATCATCCCTTTGTAAATCCTTTTCCATCTCACTCAAGTCAGAAGACATGAGATTATTCACATTCCTGCATAATGAAGATCCTTCAAGGATACAAGGGCATAGTGCAAGGGCTGCTCTGAAAGTAATGCCTCCCATTTTATTATAGTGGTGTACAACGTCAGAAGATGTTGGTGGTATGGCAGTAGAGGCTGAACCTTCCCACCAATATTCTGTTACATGTTGTTGCTGTGTGACAGATGGCAGCAGAGGGGCACTCTGACAAAATAGCATCTGAAATAGAAATGCATAGGAAGCAAAGGTGTGCCACTGAATTCTTCCATGTAGAAAAAATGGCATCCATTAACATTCTTTGACAATTGCTGAACATTTATGAAGTGAATGTGAGTACAGTGAGGTGTGAGTGGTGCATTCAGCAGTGGTGACAGCAACATGAAAGACAAATCACGTTCTAGACAGCCATGCACAGCTGTCACACTACAAAATGAAGAGTCAGCTCATCCATTCATATCAGCTAATGGTGATGACAACGTTGAAAATCAGTGTTTTGTAGCTGAGAATTTGCTCTATCAAACAGTGTTAGAATGCTTTTCATATTGTTTCCCTCGTAAGAAGTAGGAGGCATTACTTTCAGAGTCATCTCATTTTCTTTTGCTCTGCCCAATACATGTGGAGGCTCTTGAAAAATAAGATTCCTTATGAAGCACCTGGTATTGAACTTGTCGAGCTCTTATTTCTTAATGGTGTCTTGTCAAAGATTTTATTCTTGGTTTTTTAGAATATTAAACTTGGGCATTTAGTCCACTTAGGCATTAAGAAATGACTTTCATTCTGTTTTTGTATGGTAAAGGCTGTTCCTCTGTCTTGAAGAGTTCAGGTAGGAACAACTACGAAGGCATGCAAAGTCAAAAAGAAACTTCTTACAGTGTTTAATTAGAGTTCAGTCATGCTTTGGTCCTGTACTTGACATGTACGTATTCCTTTACTTGTCACCTACTAAGTGTTGAAAGACTTTCTGTGAAAGAAATCCTTTCTCAGTTTCAGAAATTGTTTAATTTTTACAGACACTCTGGAAACAATAATAGAGGAATACAAGTCAAATGTTTTTAGAAAGTAAATATAAGCAGTGGCTGTGGACATCTCTAATTGGTGAGAATCTTAAGAATTACATCATTAAGTACTGCTCTTTTGATGCAGACTGACTTTTATGTCTGCCATGTCATACTGCAGGAAGCCAGACTACAGGCCAGATTACACATTTCCATCCTTAACCTTTTGAAGGACTATACTGGTTTAGAAATTCTGGAGACTTACAGGGAAGTAAGTTGTATAAGCAGCTTATGTCATTCGACAGAGTGAGATCTGCTTAAAGAAGGAGGACAGTCTTTATGTATAAGAAGCTAAACTTTGATAACTGGTTTGCAAGAGACTACAGTAGCATCACTAAAAATATAGAAGTATCCATTTTCTTTTACAGAGCAGCAGAATCATGCTCTACTTTTAAAGCAGTCCTCAAGAACATACCTAAAATTGCAAAAAAATCCAGGAGAAAAAAAATGCTTACAAAGCAACTTTTAAATTTTTCTTAATCTTCACTTTAACCATTAGATGTTACGATACTCCAGCCTTTTTTTAATTCTAGATTTAATGTATGAAAATGACTTGTATTTCTCTGGAAAATAAACAGGAATGCTGCAATGGCATACTTTCAGAGTTTGTTTAAAAATCAAATTATCCATCTTTTTTGCCAATGCCCTGCGGGGGAGGAAGGCCAGAGGCATTGTGCAGTGCTGGATAGTCTCTAACCTACAGAATGCATCCATGAATTCCAAATCTGACTCTCAGCACTCTCTGTGCATGTAACACAAACACTGAAGGGCTGCTCCTGTGTCCAACACAGTCACGTTGTCTCTGGAAATACAAAGGCAACTGTAGTACACTGGCCTCAGCGGCACAAAGTGAGGGACATTAGCAATATAATCCAGACCAAATATTCAAGAGAAGTATTAAATACATCCATTAGGAAGATTTTTAGTTTGGTTAATATTCATTTTCAAGAATGTGTCACAGATAGGGTCAATTTGCTAGCTGTTTGCAGATTTCTTGCTTTTAAAAGTAGAAAACTAAATGTTTTTAGAGCATCACCAAAAAAAAATATCACACACACACAAAATCACAAAATTCATTCATTCACAATTAATCTGTTTCTTTTCTACCAGATCTGTTATAGTGGTTGGCAGCCCTGCCCATAGCAAGGAGCTGGAGCTTGATGATTTTTAAGGTCCCTTTCAACTTAAGCCATTCTATGATTCTATCACAGAAAAAAAGGAAAAAAAAAATGGCACAGAAAAACATATTCTTCCATAGTATAGCCATACATCATCATTCAGTGCCAGGTCACAATACAGGAATTAAATGTCCGATTGAGAGATTTCATTTTTATGTTTGTTTTAAATACAGAAGGCTCACAGCCCTCTGCATAGCACAAGTAGTGAGGGACAGACTGTGTCAGAGACCATTTTATAAAACCCCCCATAAGGCACTGAAATGGTCAAAGCCTACATCTGAAATCGCATGTCAAAAAAGGCTTCGGCTCACAAAAAACAAGTTACTGCAGCTGGTGCCCAGTCATGTGATATTCATAGATTCCATGACTATAAAGCAAGAATTGTGCTGCACAAACACTGTTAAAATGCTGGCGTAGGTGTATTATGCACATGCTTTTGTGACTGGTTCAGCAATGCTGGATGGAGCCGTTTCACTTGCACAGAGATGCTGCCTGCTCTAGGCTCAATGTGCTGCTTCTCCCTCTCACCCTTCCTCCTTCCCCATCTCCCTCCACACATGCATGCGCTCACCCTCACGTGCTCCTCATTAAGAAATCACTACACTAAGTACAAAGGGCTACAAAGAATTAGAAAAAATAGCAGATGGGCTCTTCAGATGGGCAATATGCATGCAAAAGCCTTACCAAAAACACAAATACTGTTTTTTTACAAGCTTTTACGGCCATGCCTTAGAGTTCCAGCATTTGCTGCAGTTCAGAATTCTCTCTCTCCTTGAGAAATTCGTATCACTCACAGAATTAAGGAAAGCAGTAATTTTTCCAATACACATGCTTCTTGTTACAGAAGATGATATAAAACCTGGTGACTGCAATATGTGCACAATCCCACTTGCGCTGTCGCACATCCCCTGGGCAGCTGCAGTATCAGCATTGCTGAAATCACTGGTTACATTACAACAGCTCCAGCACACTGCCGGCCAGAACGAGGGCACTCTGCCACACATGAGACCTCGAGGATTATAACTCTGCTGTGCACTGTGACAGACATACATTTGAGGAAGGTCTAAAAAAATTACACAGTTTAATTAGAACATGAATTATCAGAGAAGTAGAGCTGGTCAAATGGGAAAACAACTTCTGAGGGGTTCTGTTCACGTACTGCGTTCTGCAAAGGCACAAAACAGTCAAGTCCAATTTGCAGTGCTGCTGTGTTCCAGTAGCACACCGTCTTTGCCAAATACAATACTGGAAGGCTTCTGGGAAATCTCAAGCATTTCCCTTCCCCCCCCACCCTCCACCAAAAAACCTGTTACTGATAAATATGAAACATAAAAATCTGAATTGTTTCATGCACACTAATAAGAATCACCTGACTGTGAACTGTAATGTACTCAACACTTGATAATTTCTTCAGGCTCACTCTAGGGTCCCCCAAAACATCAGTTCCAAGATTAATTATATGACGAACATAGGAAAGATGTGGGAAATAAAGGTAAAAAGGTATTGTAAAAGCTCTGAACACATCACAGCAACATCCAACCTTCCAATTTGGGTCAGGAAAATATCAGATCAGAGGAGCTGTCACAAGAAATGCTTTTAAGCCAGAAATCAAGGAACACTTACCTTACACAGTTGTTCCTTTCATCCAGATTGTTAATTTTAGAGAAAATACGCTCCCCATCTTCCTTTAAATCCTCTGCTTGCCTCCTTACTTCAACTGCAACTTCCTAAAAGTGGTTTATAGCACAAGTAAGACAGCAAGTCATCATGTTACAGACTCCTGAAAAATCTGTCATTATAGAACCTCTTATTTGTGGCTTTGCTCTGTTTGAATATACATGAAGTCAACAGCATAGCATGCCTCGAGCTTGTTTGGCTTTAAGTGGAGCAGTGTGCTATGTGACCTCTTGCACAGCACTACAGACCTGTACTCAAGCTTCTAGCTTAGTTTGCTGAACTACTGAAGGGTTTAACATTTATAAACCTCTGCAACTTCCAGTTAGCAAAGACAAAAACGCAGCAAAGAACTGACAGAAGAAGATTTGCTCACATTTTAGAACAGACAAGTATACAATGGCTCTTGAATCCCCGAGCGCGTACTTCAGTTTCTTAGTACAACATACAGCATTGCTGTTCCAGAAATGCATTATCTCACTACCTTCAAACAACCACACCCAAAGTATAGCTTTGCATTACAAACACCAAACCTACAGGAAATTTAATTGCACATTAGCCCTGAAATCATCCGAATCGTATATGTGAAACAACATCTTTATTTACTTCAGTCTGTTGTAAGCATCTTCAATGTACTTATCACCATGCTTTCCAGGTGCCTAAACAGGTGTCTGCATTTTGCCCCAGGAGGCCTATACTGAACTTAAAGGCACTGACTAATAAACCAGAAATGCATACATGGAATAGATTACACAATGATTTTCTGCTGGGTAGGCAATTATCAAATAATTTAGTTAATCTAATTTTCAAAATAACTTCCAGGTGAGTATTTCCAGGGCTGGAATCTCTACTCTTGTAAATTATCTGCATAGTTAAGTCTGCCTGCAAAGTTCAAAAATAACTTTTGCAAAACCTAAAGAAAAAAATGCATAAAAGGAGTCCACAACTTTAGAAACCAACCTATTTTCTAAGCTATTCTCATTTTGCATGCACATACGTGTATGTATATATGCATGCATTGTTTTCAACAAGAGAAGAAAAGGAAAGCATAGTATGCCTCCCTTTTTTCTTACAAAAGGTAAAGTTCAAGCCAAGTTGTACACACTTCAACTCAAGACATATCAGACAGTTTTGTAGCAGCTTTCAACAACATATTTTAAGCACAGAACTGAAGAGACTAGGTTTCTCTGTTTACTTCCCTTGCCACCTGCCAGCCATTCCCTGGCCCTGCTCTGTTAAAAATTAACTTAATATTTACTTGCAAGTTGAACAGATATTTGGCATCTCTCTGTGGAATACATTTATAGTTCTTAAATCAAGCAAGCTGACAAAAAATAAAACACTGAGCAGTTTCATTTTTTTCCCTGCAGTGTAGCTTTAACATTAGCAGATACATTTTTTTAGATCTCTAAACTTTAGCAGGCTGAAGTTTTGTTCTATGTAGCTTCTCCACAAAGTAAGTTTAGAAGAAAAGAGAAAATGCATAGAAAATGATCAGACCATCAATAAAAGTGGAAAAACATAGGTATTATTTCTCCTTAGAATATTTCAGCTTATAGTTCCAGAGAGCAGCTTTAAGAATGAAAATGGGAAAGGGGGGAAGCAGCCACAAAAACAAAGTGCTCCAAGTGCAAGATTGCTTTGATCCTCTCATATCTCTACTGTAAAATAGAGGACATCATCAAATCAGCCAGTTTTTTTCTTCCAGTATATACAAGAAATAATTTTTATCCAATTGTTCTTTGCTACACTCATTGCCTATGCAACACAGTCTTTGATCTCACTAGAGCTACATGTAACATTTACACTATTACAAAGGAAAGGCTAACATCATATTACATGCAATCCTAAACTGAAAATTTTCACAAAAATTATCTTGCTCTCCCTTCCCCCTCACCTCCCATAGGCAATGAAAAGATAATACAAAAGCAGCTTGTACCTGTTTGTAGAAATCAGTTGAAGGAGATGATCTAGATCTCTCATGGGTGTACTGGGCTTTCTCATGCTGTTCGTGGCTGACATCAAGGATGTTATCTGCTGAATGGTACCTTCCTGAACTCCTTGCCTCGATGGGCTTCCGCTGCTCTTTCCACGATGCCTGATACTCGGCAAAGGTTCCCAGACGCTGTGGCTGTTGAGATTTCACAGTCCTATCTGCAGCCTTACTGCTGCTGCTGTGGTGGATGCTACCTTTTGGAGCATGTGCAGTTTCAAGTCCAACAGAAGCTGCCTGACCTCTTCTCTCATGCCAGGACTCGTCTCCCTCCTGCCCGCCGTAAGCTTTCCTGTCCGCCCTCTCAGGCAATCCCTCAGTTAGGCTGTGGGGAGTTGGTTTCTGTGCGGGCTTTCTACTCGCAGGCTTACTCGTTTCTTCAAAGAACTTCCACCTGTCTGCAAATGAACCCAAGCCTTCTTCAGATGTTTCTGGATGGCAGTGGGCACGACACTCATCCTCTGACATCCCCACTTCATTCATCTTCTCCGGTTCAGAGTAAGATTTCAGTTTTTGTTCTGTTGTGAACCTCTTCCTGGCTCCAATGCGAGAAACGTGATGAGTGCCACTCCCTGTAGGATTCGGTTTAGCTTGTGTAGCCTCAAGGAATCCAGACACATCTTCAGAAACCAAAGCCAATAATGAAGAGTTGTAACTACCAGCTTTCCGTTCTGGTGACCTGGGGGGATATTCAGCAGGGCTGGGCTCCAAGTCCCGCCGTTTGAAGGAAGTTGCCCGCAGAACTCTGGCCTGTGCTTCCTTCAGGTGATCTTTGTAGGTGCTAGTAAAGTTCGTATCTGGGGAGGCGTTCACATTTTCTGCTGCATCTGGCTTCCCGTTCTCGCTGCACTCCTCCGTCTCAGATGACCCTATTAAAGTAGCCGTGCTTCTACTTTTCTGTAGCTTTGCCCTTCTCATTTGGATCTCATTTCTCAGGGTTGTTGCAAAACGGTCGCTCCTTCGTGCCTGTTTAGACAAGTGATTGTCAAATGGGGGCTGACGCTCTGTTACAGCTTCTGGGCTGCCATCAGAGTGCTTTTTGCCTTCCTGAGCCAAAGAATGCAACATTGGGGTCCTCTGAGGAGAGATCTTGCTACTCTCATCTTTTCCCCACCTGAAGTCTTTCTGAGCGGGCCTGTTCTCAGTAGTAAGGGCACAGCCCTTTCCATACTCCTGTTGACAGTACCTCATCTCACTTTCCTCAAAGCTGCTCTCAAAGCTTTTCTTCTGCCCAGATTTTTCAGCGTGATTCATTTTTATAATCTCTTCTACTACAGCAAACCTAACATCCCCCTCTCTGTCCACTGTGTAATGACTACTGTTCTCACACCCTTCCACAGAAGATTCAACAGACTGTTGAGGTAGATAGCATTTTGGTTTTTGGACCATTGTGACAACTGCAGGATTTTCATAAGGTCCAAGAGAAACATCAGCTCCCGCTGCAGGTTTCCAGTTGTCATCCTTGAGCTGCAGTGGCTTTGAACTTCCCTGAGCAGGCTGTTTTGCTGTCACACAATAATAGCGACTCTGTCCAGTGTTGTCTGCCTTCTGTTCAGCAGCACTGTTTGAAGAAGAGCAAGCGTTGAGCAGCCTGGTGTGGTTTAGATTGTATCCATGAAAATGATCAGTAGGCAACTCTTGAATACCACCATAGGAGAGAAAAGGTTGCTGATCTTTAGGCGCAGCTAACATTCTTGTGTTATGAAAAAAAGTGCTTTCATCACTGTACTGGTGCTGGTGGTGGTAACTGTAAGCAGGCTGTGCAAAACGAACATCAGTGCTGGACAAGGATGACTGCAGCTTGCTCACAGTTCCTGCATTACTATTGTACCTTTCACCAACTGCAGAAAAAGCATGTTCCGAACTGAGATCTGATTTATAGTTTGAGCCACTGACCTTCCTGTCACATGCTCTGGAAGGCCGCCGTTGCTGTTCCACAGTTTCTGAGTTCCAGTCATTCCTGGTCTGAGATCGGTTCAGGGCTGTAAAGTGCTGTGTGCTGGCACTCTCTGAATATGCAGGGCCCTGGGCCTTCTCATGTCCTTTGGTAGCAGCAAAGCTGTCACTACGGAGAGGTGGAGGTGGTGGGGGAGGAGAGGAAGACTTCCTTTTATCTGGAACATACCAGACAGGCCCAAAACTGGATCTTCCAGAGCCAGCAAGCTTGACATCAGGGTGTTCCTCTATTCTGGGACTTCTGTTATTCTCGTACTGGATGGGAGCTGGCAAATATCCAGGTTTGTCCTCTATCCCACTGTAATCGTTCAGAAACTGTCCAGACTTATTTCCATGTTTAGATGTCTCCCAGTGGCTTACTTTATACAGCATATTCTCTGTTGAAGAAGTGTCTGAATTGGATAGAGTGTGGTCAGGGGTGCTAGAACTTGTGGAAAAAGACCCGTAGGCTGAATCCCGCTTATTTTGGCTCCCTAGATGGTCAATGCTACTATTAGACCTTGCAGAAGAAAGTCTTCCATACTGGGCTACTTGTGGTGTTTGGTCCCAGCTGTCCATACTGCCCAAAGAGCTGAACTGGTCAGACGCACGATGGAGACTTGACTGATCCCATGAGTTTGACAGGTCATGAGAAGAACAGCTGTGGTAGGAAACAAACAAAAAAAAGCCCCAGTATAAACACAACAGCCAAAAAATTCCATGATGCAATTAAAAATATTTGATCACTAATTTTATTAATACTGGTGAAATCCATCTGTATAGCAGTTACTTTGGGCAATCTAATAAAACTGAGAGCATAGAAACAAAGTCAGGGCTTTAATTTTCCACCAATCTGCCACCAATCCAGAACTTGAAACCTCAAAAAGTAACTGGTGGATCCTTTCTACCTATACCACTAAGTAATATTTACCTCCTTCAAAGGTCTCCTTTTCCCTATGCAAACTGATGATTTTGCTGACTTTTGAACAAATTCAGTTTCATCTCCATTAGCTCTCTTTTTCTCAGGACAAACATCAACTTATTTTGCAGTTTATTTTCCAAGCACCTTGATACTTCCAACTGCTAACCTTGTGCACTTCCCTGTTCACCTTCAATAAACTCACTCTAAACAGAAAGTTAATCCTTTGTCTTGATTAGCCAAACCCGCCCATTCATACAGTATTTTCATTTCAAAATGAAGGTTTACTAAAAACATTTGCCTCAAATTCCACCATTTCAGTTCTGAGCCTCCAAATGAAACTTGCCAATACGCTTTCAAACCACTCTCAGTTTGATGTTTTTACAAAAAAGTTGTTCAGTTACACACCATTGTCAGGAATCTCAAACAATTTACTTTCTGCTTGGACAAAACTAAACCTATGACCTTTCTTCAAAAATCCTTACCATCACCTCTCTGTCACTCCTTGTACAGAAGTGCCATCTTTGACATTGCACTTTCTCTGTCACATTTGTCTAGGTACTATTTCAAAACCTTGCTGCTTATGTTCTCTTCCTCACCGCAATCAGCTTTGCTTTGTTTCTTCAACCTCTTTTCATTATTATTTTTCATAGCACCCATCTCCTGTCAATCCAACACACTGATGCTAAGATGACCATCCTTCCAATTACTCTCACATTTTCCTGTCTGAACTTCACTGCCAGCCCTTATACATCAATTCAAATTCCTGTCTTGGTAGAAATCCCAGAACTGTTCCAATTCCCTGCAGCTATAATTATATCAAGCATCTATCAAACCTTGCACACTAAAGGAAGCATCTATTCAATCTTGTGCTGTAAAGAAATTTGTGAACACTAATACTGAAATAAGATTAGTCCACATAAAATCAGTACAAAGAGTGATACAGGTCTTTTTTCTTTGTCAAAAATACTGCAAAAAGACAACTAAACAGTTCTTTGGGATTCAGTTTTTATGTAGGAATTACATTATATATTTTATATTACTATAGCTTTAAAATTTTTTTATACAACATGATCAAAAACAATTTACAGGAAGTAAGGGGAGGCATACTTTGCATTTATTTTCTAAAAGTAAGTTTTTGACAAGATGACCCAGCAGTGACCTCATCCCGTATTTTTATTTGTTCTTTCTTTCATTTTCAGCATTTCACTAGATACTTAATGAGGTCTTAATTTATCTCTTAAGCAGATGCTGTAGCTCATGCAAAAAGTGTCTCAATCATTTGGATCTCTATTGTTAATGAAGAATTTAATCTAGATATAGGTATGAATTGCTGTGTTTTGAATTGCAGTTTTCTTCCCCCTTTTCAGCACTAAGACTACACATGGCATTGACTGAAATAAAGATGACACTTCTGTTTCTATTTCCAGTTTACAGATCCGCTGATATCAAATGTGAAGCAGAGACGATCAGTGTAAGAGCTCAGAGATCTACTAGAAAACACTTAATGGAAACCTAATAAATGCAATAAAAACTTCACAGAAAGATCAGCAAAGTTTCTAATGATGTGTTACTGCAAAGCCTCCTGTGGTCCTTAGTTGAGGGCTAATCCTCCCACATACTCTGGCACAGAAGGCAGTCCAAAACCACTTCCAGTGGCATTTCAGACTATCCTTCTCTCAATTTTTTATTTTTTATTTTTTCCAGCAGATTCACAAAAGTATCTATTGAAGATTGGGGAATAAATGCCAGGATTTTTTTTTTCTCTTTGGCCAACAAGCCCATCTCAAACCCGAGGATGAGTTTCTGCTTCTGAGTTCTCCCACAAATGATATCATTTCAGCGAATCAAGCAACATTCAGGCCACATGGACTTACAGACCAGTCATACATGACCCTAATTTTCCTCAAAATCTCAATTTAAGCAGCATTCTCAAAGCTCACTAGCCTTACACTCACATTTTTAAGGCCATAACAAAGTAACTGAGATAACTGGTTTCAGATACAGTTCTGGGCAGAATGAAAAAAAAATAGTTATATGTTCCTCTTTTATAGCATGTCCTAAGGGAAGAAAATGTGGGGTCTAAACTCTTACCAACTTGATACACCAGCAAAATGCTATCAGCTGTAGTCTAGGACAGGTTAGGAAAAAGCTCTGCATCCACTTTGTGAAGGCATTTGTTAGTCGGAAATTAAGGCACTGAAGCCTTATGAGATCTGAGTCAGTAGCCCTGCCATTGAAGTGTTTGAAGCTCCCACAGTCAGCCCAGCACTCCCAAGACTATTTACAGCGTTTGCACAAAAGTCACATGATAGAAAATACACACAGAATGGTGGATGTGGACATGAGGGCTCCAGAACTACGCCCTCTCCTATTTACACAAGTCTCTTCTGCTCTTTACTTCTTTAGCTTCATGCACCTTATCAAAGGTCCGAGTTCAGCAAGCAGGCCAAAAAAGAAGCAAACCAAAACCAGCCAACCAAACCCGTGCCCTAATCTAGCATCTACCTAGGTAGCAATAACAATTTCCAGAGGGTTGTTTGGATCAGCTGCCCCTGATCAAATCCAGACATATCCTGCTTGGAAAAGAACAGGCACCTCTCCTCTTGGTTGAGCTCACCATGATTTACAGGTCATTTAGTTCTCACACTCACAGAGAGAACCACGGTATTACATTCAGAACAGATTTTAGGTTGTGAAGATCAGGCTCAGATGCTTAGCTCAAGGAAGCATAAAAATCTCCAGAAGTAGCACCAGGATGGATCTGGATCCTCTGGCTAGAAATAGCCCCTCCTCAGGCTCCTGAGATACTGCTCCTTTAAGCTACTGAATACTGTAAAACACCTTCACCTCGGTGCCTTTCTTTCTTTCTTTCTTTTTTTCTCAGACTAGCAAGTCCAAGGAAACCCACTTTGCAACTGGGATTCTCAAAATATCCAAATCCTTTGGCTGGCACTCTGGGACTGCTAGAATTCCAGGAGCCACCATATGAATTCAGCTCAGTCCTAGAAATGGTCTTGGACACCAGGTGTGACAAATCTCCAAAGTAAATCATCTTTCAACAAATAGGCTTTCAAGTGGGCAGCACAGGTGATTGATGGGTTCAGAAACAGCAATACTCTGGAAATCCTGGTATTAAGACTGTGCTGAAGCCTCTACCTCTTCTAGTAGCATCTGAGAGAGCAGAATTTGCCCTTTTTATTAAAAGTCATGTCTATCAGGAATTGCTGATATTTTTCATACATAGGAGGAAGGAATTGCAGCACTCCCCTCCCCCTTTTCCTTTAGGCTAAAACATGCTGAAAACTGCACTCAAACCATATTAAAAACAAATAGATACTTTAAATATTGCCAGCTCCTATCAAATCACGCTTTCAGAGGTGTGTCTCATAGTACGTTACTTTCACAAGGTACAAGGACAACCATAAAGAAACACAGGAAGCATGTATCAATTTACATCTCAATCAAAAGATTCAGTAGGCTGAAAGTAGAAATATTTTTAAGTTAGCTCTGCAATTCAGATCTCTGAAGATTTTAGGAATTTCTGAATTTTGTTTCTTGTACAAGAAATCTTACTATCTACATATCTATAACTCTAATTCAGCTTATTTACAGGAACCTTAAATACAAACTCTACAAATAAATGTAAAACAGAAACAATTATAATCAAGGATTAGGGAAATATATAATGTGCTAAAAATTCTGCTAATGAAGTGTTACGAAATACATTTTGAAAACTATTTCTTTCTAAAATGTTAACTTTCACATTTTATGCAATGGCAGATAGCAAGTTATTTTTAAAACATCACGGAACTTCAAAAGAATTCAAACAATGTAAAAAAGATTTTAATAATGGCATAAAATACAATCTTAAATTATGATTTTCTTCCATTCTGTTTTAAGGAGAATATACAATTAATAAATAGAGAAACACAAGTCTACTTTCCAAACTGAGACTGTAAGACTGGTTTTCTTTAATGCCCAGCATAACTATGGCTCAATTGTGAACAGACTGAAGAAAAAAGCAACAAAACAAGCAAAAAAAAAAAATCCTTGTGAAAATACTGAAGAATGTTACCAACAAGCAGAAATCACACAAGAACCTGCAACCATATGCAAGCAGGCATTATTTCAAATTTCACAACTAGAACTGCCCAAGTGCCAGCATTTCTTCCATAGTGTTGCATGAGACCTAACAAATACTAAGGTGCTTTAAACAACAGCCGCAACAACTTTCCGCATTTATCTCTCTCCACAAGCAAGAACAGCCATAGGAAGGATCAGATTACAGAAAGATAATTTAACTAATAAAACCAGTAACCACTTTAAAATCAAACAGGAAAATACTCTGTATCCTCTCTTCAGGAAAAGGCTTTCTAGTATTCAGTAACAGTATTTTTCTATTTGTCTTTCCTTTGCTATTTCATTTCAAGTACGTTAATTTTGATGGTTTCTTTTTGCTTAGAAAGGTTTAGGACTTTGCACTGTCCATGGAAACAAAATGCAGAGCTACAAACACAACTTTTTTGACTGCCTTTAAAACTAACTTCTTACCTTTCAGTCACATGCAATTATCACATATTGTTTCTGAAAATATCCATACGTAAAGCTTCCAGGTCTCCTTCTTCAAACATTGAGAGGACAGGAAATAATAAAGTAAAACGCAGTACTGCATTTGGGGTTTAAAAAGCACTCAACATGACCCACACTAATCGTGCCTTTCCATCGGAGTTTAATGCACGTAACTTCAGCAGAGTCTCACCTTGCATGATACCGTGAATGCCAAGAAGTGCAGGCATTGGATGAAGGAAGGTGTGACGTGGCTGTCTCAGGCTGACTTTCTGTAAACTTGGTTGCGTGCCAGGAGTGAGGCCTGCAGGCTAGGTCATTTCTTCTGAAAAGAGAGAGGAAGAGTGTATGAGTCAAATGCAAACAGTTCAGCAAGGTGACATGAAGCAATAAAACAGTAAAAAAAACAACAACAAACCAACAAAACTATCAGGGTAGTAGTCACACAGACAGCAAAGATATACAATAACTTCAAGTGACAATGAACTACGTCGTGTTCTACATGCATGCCAGTTTTGAAAAGCTAACAAACATTCCTTTAAAATGCTTGGGGCAGTGAAATACCAGTATTCTCCAAGGTTTCTGTTACTGTGGGTTTTACTGCAGTTTTTATGTTGGAGGGGAGACTTTTTTTTGTTGGTTTTTTTTTGAGTGGCCAAGACAGACAAACACAAATTTTGGAGTACCTGAAATGTTTACAGAGCTTTAACATCTCAAGCTAATAATGAGCTTCAATTACTCTTTCAGAACATGACAACAGTATAGTAGGGCTTCAGTAAGGTTATTCTATAGCCATCTGCTTATAGAAGATGGGAAGAAGAATTAATGACATTGCTTCATACAAGTCAGTAAGAGAGATATAACTAATAATTCCAACAGTAAGCTCTCAGGGCATGTATTCCAAACCTTTCTGCAAAGCTGTTCTAAGCCCCTCTCCTCTGGTCAGGAACTAATATTATGAGCTTTCATTTCTTTCTCCAAGGGCTTTATAATGCCTCTCAACACTCCTGAAAGAAGCATTCTCCTTCTCCAGTGTTATATAAGTCTTCTGGATGGGATTCACCTATTTCTGTCTCAGCGAATGCATACCCAGTACAGGCCATTTGTCTAGACTCTCTCAATAGCCTTGGGTATAAAACAGAAATCTCCTGAAGAAAATTCATTCTGTCTTTCCCTTTGGATCTTCCTGGGAAAACTGTAAGCTAAAATTTGGATCAGATTTAAGATGACAAATCCCATCCTTCGAAGTCACAATCTGAACCAAAAGCTTACAGAACCTCAACTCTTATGGTTTTTTTTTTTCAATGTTCTTATGTATTTCACTTATGTAATTGTGGTTCTTTAAACAGTAATTTATCTAAGTTACAAAATGATTCACAAAGCATAGAAAGTGCTCCCAACTCTCAATTTACGCTCTAAAGGCAGTTCCACATTTTTTATTCATCTCTCTTTTTCAAATGTGGGTTATCAGACAGCCACTAGAAAACAAAACCAAAGCTCATTATAAGCCCAGTATCTTCAAAACAGATCCAATTTGACCACATGGCTTTTTGGAGTGCATTCAGGAACATCTGATGAATTCAATGATGAATTGCCTTTCCAAACTCTGCATGCATGGTTATAAAAGAAGAATAATAATTCTACAGGGAAGCTGTAATTTCACTAAGAAGTGTGGCATCATTACTGTCACTAAAAAAAGAAGTAATTGTTTCTGTAAACAAAAGCCTACTCTTCCACACACGACAAAAGAGAAAACAGCTGAGCAGAGCATCAGTATGTTCCTCCTTGGTAGAATATGAAACTAAGAGAGTGAATGGAGAAGACAAAATATTCTCTGTGAAAACAAGTGAAGATTCTTCAGGCCACATGGTGCTCAGCTCCAGACAGTCCTTACATATTCCAAGCACCCCAAGTTTATATTCAGGTATGGGGAAGAAGTATTCCATCATTCAGCTGCACAGAGCATTGAAGAGTTTCCTTTCCACCTAACTCTAATGTTATTGATATATTGTACAGCTAGGCATACTGTAAATGCACATTCAGGCAAGTTCAATATAACTTTCAGACATCAATTCAGCAAAAAAGCTTGTTATGAGACAATTACTACAGCACTGTGAACAAAGGAAACACAAGACTAGAAAACTAGCACAACACAAGCAACGTTTGGATCATGAGGAGACCACAGTTAGGGAAGGAGGACTTCTGTGATGGTTTGCTATGGATTTGGCATACAGCAGGAGGAATTCAGTCGGTGGGAAGGAACAAAAGGGGTGCACTTGTAAAGCCAGTACTGTACCTCATGGAACTTCTCAAGATCTTCATAAGATAATTTCTCGCCTCATTAACATCATTTTCAGACGGCATTTCCTGTGCTACAATATCCACCACCACTTTCATCTTCCTGAGCAGCCAAGCAAAGGGAGGAACAGACTGAACTGAGTTGTGATATGAGAGGCAAGTCAAGTGGACAAGAACTACTAAGTTCTGTTTCATTTCGGTATCAGTGGGCACATATACTACTGAGGGTGGTTTTTTCATAATGTTGGGGTTTTTTTTTGCATGAACGGTCTAAAAATACTCTACCTGCAGGGTAGAATCAACTAGACACCTGCTTTTGATGAAGTCTGCAACATGACTAAAAACTAATTTACTAAACATAATAAACATTGCTTTCTGTTGGACTCACATCATTTAATTACATTTAGTGTTTCCTGCACTTCAAGAAACTGCTTTTCTAACAATAAACAGAGCAATACTTGAATACAGATTCCAAACCTCAGCACAAATGAGTAGGAGAACTGGAAATAAAAAACTAAAGCTTGAAAAACAGAATATTTTGCAGGCCAACTGAAGATGCTGGAAGCAGAGCATTTATATTCTAACATAACATCTCTGTTTTAATTCTGAGTGACAGAATGAGATCATCTGAACCTACAATGCAGAAAACCTCAAGCATAAATGGAAACATTAATAAAAGTGTTTCACTGACAGTGTCTTTCTACCAATACATTTGCAAAAACTGCTGGAAGGAAAACGCCATTAAGTAGTGAAGATATGATATGGAGGGAAAACCAATTTCTATCAGTTATAGGCAGCGTGTTAGAGTTGTATCAATGACATGTGGTGTGTGAATAGTTAAGCAATAAACCTACCTTTCCTTTATTGTTCTTCAGAATAAATCTGTCCTTTTATACTTAATGTTTGGAAATCATTAAAACATTCTGAATTTCACAGGATAGAGAGCTTAGTGGCTTAAATTACAGTAGCAATACTGATTCAAAATGAGGAGAACAAAAAAAAGAGAGAAAAAATAAGCTTCTTTGACCAACAATAAAAACCTAATTAAACTGGGCAATTGTGGGAAAAATAACGAAAGTCAAAAAAGACTCGATTAAGTAAAAATTTACAAATTCAGGTAATTTTTATTTTCAGTTCATAGAATCATGGAATCACCGAGGTTGGGAAAGACCTCTATACACCTATCACTACTATTCCCCCACTAAACATTTCTTGAACACCTCTAGGAATGGTGAATCTATCACCTTCTTGGGCAGCCCATTCCAGTGCCTGACCACTCTTTCAGATGGGAAATTTTTCCTAACTTTCAATCTGAATCTTGCTTGGTGCAATTTGAGGCCATTCTCTCTCACTTATTGCTAGTTGTGTGGGAGAAGAGATCAAACCCCACCTCACCACAAACTTCTTTTAGATAGTAATAGATAGCAGTAAGGTCTCCCCTGAGCCTCCTGACCGAACAATCCCAGCTATTTCAAGTTGTTCCCCATAAAAGTTGTGCTCCAGACCCCTCAGAGCTTCATTGCCCTTCTCTGGACATGCTCCAAAGCCTCAATGTCTGTCTTGCAGTGAGTGTCCCAAAACTGAACACAGTACTCAAGATACGGCCTCACCATGACTGAGTACAGAGGGATGATCACTTCCTTGCTCCAGCTGGCAGCACTATTTCTGATTCAAGCCAGGATGCCACTGGCCTTCTTGGCCACCTGGGCATACTGTTGGCTTTTGTTTAGCTGAGCATGGACCAACTCACCCAGGTTCATTTCTTCCAGTCTTCCAGCCACTCTACCCCAAGCCTGTAGCACTGCATGGGGTTGTTGTGGCCAAAGTGCAGGACCCAGCACTTGGTCTTGCTAAACTTCATCCCAGTTCATTTGAGAATGCACGCAAATGCATTTTTAATTTTTTCATGAAGGCTGTCTCATTGCAGAAAGGAAATCAGTCCCTCAGAATGAAGGAATCTGGCTACTTTCCTCCTGGAAGTAATACAACTCAAATTCTGCTCTCCTATTTGTGCACTTTTTTTCTTCTTCCTTTTATTTCCTACAATAATCTTCCTTAAGACATGAAAATAGCATAATGTTCTTCTGCGATCCCCGAACAAATCATATGATTGCTTTTTTTTTTTTTTTTAATCTGCAGGTCTGAATGCAGAATTCACTGCACTGCTCAGATCAGTAATCATCACTTGTAATTAGGACTTCCCTACGTCCAATGAAACCAAAAATAAGCATTGTATGCCAGTATATCTGAATGCAATGGTTTATATTGTTCATCTCTATTAGCTGCACCAGGAAATAAAACCTGGCTTTACACTAAATTGCTTTTTTTTCATTGTAATTTTATTTTTATAGGAAGGATGAGTCAGTGGCTTCAGTCAGAAATGAACTACAGCTGCAAAGAACTGATACGTACTGTTCAAGAGTAATTTCCTGAGTTAAAACTGTAGTAGTAATTATCACAGAATAACAGAATGGCCAGGATTGGAAGGGACCTCAAGGATCATGAAACTCCAACCCCTCTGCTACGTGCAGGGCTACCAATGTCCCCATTTAATGCTAGACCAGGCTGCCCAGGGCCCCATCCAATCTGGTCTTGAACACTTCCAGGGACGGGGCATCCATGACCTCTCCGGGCAGCCTGTTCCAGCACCTCACCATTCTTCCTGTAGAGAATTTCCCCCTGACGTCCAACTTAAATTTCCTCTCCCTCAACTTCAAACCATTTCCCCTTGTCCTGCAGTTATCTACCCTTTCAAAAAGTTGATTCCCCTCCTGTTTGTAGGCTCCCTTTAGGTACTGAAAGGCTGCAATGAGGTCACCCCGCAGCCTTCTTTTCTCCAAGCTGAACAAGCCCAGCTCCCTCAGCCTGTCTTCAGAGGGGAGGTGCTCCAGTCCCCTGATCATCTTCATGGCCCTCCTCTGGACTCTCTCCAACAGCTCCCTGTCAATTATATTAAAGTTTCTTAAAAATATATGTTATTTGATGTTCAGCCACTTCACTCTTGTTTCTACAGAACATTTTTAGCCC